GCCAAATACATTCACCGTATTGACATTGGCCCCGAACATCAGTTTGCAGATCATTGTGTTGCACATGTGCAGTTCAACCTTCCTACGAAATTAGTAGATACTCATTCATGGTTTGCGCCTAAGTCCTGGACCGTGTTCTCAATCCCCCAGGACACCTTTGCCTGTCAATACCGACGCACGCGTTGTCCAGCTGTCACATCACTCTCTGCTGATCCAGCCGAATGCTTACATCAGTGGTCCCTGCGAATTGAAAAAGCTCTTCACCAGACTCTGAATCTTCATAAAGCTACCGAGCCACTACAACAGACTCAAGGATTTCTGCCCAAGACATTTCGGGGTCGCTGCGCACCACCGAGACTCGTTCGTAATAGCTGTCCCCGAACCCCCAAACACGATATTACGGGTCAATATGAACCGCCCACTGAAGTTACATCCTTGAAGAGTAGACAGAAAGTCCGACAGGTCCGTCGCCTTCGCTCTTTGGAACGTTTGTTTAAAAAATACGATCTGTTGGATTCTCACCTCTCTCAATGTGTCCACTCCTCGAGGTGGAGTGAACTGCAGCATTTGTGGCAAGTCATTTGTTCAGCTAATGGGTACGGAAGTTCATGGGATCACTGGATTTTGCAATTCGAATCTATACCTGCCGTCCCACAAGACCTTCCGACTTACGACCAGCTCTATTCTTTTCGACAAATCACGCAATACGACGCTGACTTGTACTGTCAACATGAAGCCAAGCTTCAACGTCAGTCCCGCCAACATGCCTTGAATCTTGATATCCAATACAAGTCCTGTTCCCAGTTTTATAAGCGCTTGAAGGATAGTGAGGTCAAAGTCCTTCCTGGCTTTCCTATCAAGCTTACCGCACAAGCTTCGTTATGCCGATCAGACAAAGGGCCAGTCATGTTAACGATCCATCAGCCGGTGAGCTTCCGATTATATGCCGCTGCCACTTTTGGTACTGCCCAACTTCGTATTATGGAGCAATGTGATTCCCGTATTCGTTGCCACGTCCTGCATGGGTGTGTCCCCACACATGGGGACCTAGTCCAAGAAGTCTTTGCTTTTGACGTTCATCAGATGGCAGCCCCTTTCGCAGAATATTGGTCCCAGTTTTGGAACCGTGATTCACAGCAGGATGAATGCTCGGATCAGCCTTGGATACAGACGCTAGACACACTATGCGCCCGTATCCCACCTAGTACTCCTCTCCAAGTTCAGTGGGATGACCCGGATGTTTTGCAACAAACTATCAGACGTCTTAAGCCGTTTAAAGCAGTAGGCATTGATGGATGGAGAGCCGAAGAATTACAATCACTCCCTTACGAAGCCGTAGCCGATTTGGCCAGTATCCTAGCCGTGATTTGGCCTACGGGGCTTTCCGCACACCAGCTCATAGCTCGAGTCATTCTTCTCGCTAAGAGACAACCCCCTACGGCTATTACTGATGGCCGGCCTATTACAATCTTGGGATATTTAAGCCGACTCACCTCTAAACTTATTGCTGATCAGCTTCTAAATCAATGGGCCACTGCGTGGCCGAGTGCCATCTCGGGAGGATTACCATTTCGAGGAGTTCAAGACATCACATTTATGCAGCAGTTTCAAATTGAGTCTGCTAAGCATCGTTCCTTGCCCTGGCGGGGATTCACGCTCGATCTAATTAAAGCCTTTAACCTGCTCCCACGCCGTGTTATCTATCATCTCCTCATTTACCATGGGCCCCCCCCCCAATCCATCGCATTTTGGTTTCGAAACCTGCGAAATATGACACGCAGACTACAGGTTCGTAATGCCATTGGCCCCGCAATCCACATGACTACCGGGGTGCCAGAAGGGGATAGCATGTCCGTATGTGCCATGTTGGTGGTGTCTTCCGCCTTCTACTGGACACTTCATACCCCCACAGTCTTCCCATACGCATATGCAGATAACTGGTCCTACCTCACTACAAATCAGCGTGATAATATCCTCACTTTCCAGAAGATTAAACAACTCGTGGCAGCATTGCGTATGCAAATTGATTTCACAAAATCGTGGGCATGGGGAGCCACACTGGATGCACGTCAAGACTGGAAGACCTTTCTACACCAAGAATTTCCAGATGATACACCAGTCCAGGTGCTAAATTCCACTAAGGATCTTGGTTGCATGACTCACTATACCAACCACATTACATTAGGACACCTCAAGACCAAAATTGCCAGTGCCATTCAACGATGTAAACGTTTGCGGTGTTTTAAAATGAATGAACATTGCTCAAAAAGCTCGGATCATACAAACAGCCATTTGGCCCCACGCGTTCTTCGGAGCTGAAACCCAAATCGTTGGAGACAAACATTTTAGGACCCTACGGAGAGAAGCTGCCACAGCCTTGATTGGACCGGAATCCCAGATCTCCAGCTGGTTAGCAGTCCATATCTTTAATAGCCAATTGCAGGATCCATTGCTTTACGTCATTACTAATGCACTGGCATTTATGCGTCGTATGTTTCATGTAAACCCAGACTTGGCACTAAAATTCCTTCAAGCCGTCACTCAGCATGAAGGTCCGGCTGTAGGGCCTGCAGGAGCCTTAGCTCGGTATCTTCGTCAGGTTGGTTGGTCCCTGGCTCCAGACGGTCGTTTAACTCTCGATGGGTATTTATCGGTCTCAGTTCGATATGATGCTCTTCGCTTTATCCGTCAACAATTACGCTTAGCCTGGGCTTACCAGATTCATCGCAATATCTGCCATAGAAAGGGCGTCATTGATCATCCCATTGATTTAGTGATCCTTTCACGGGTCTTACGTAAAATGCCTCCAGCTGCAGTTCGCTCCATTGCCTATAACCTTACTGGTGGCTATCAGGTAGGTGCTGTGAAGGCCTTGTGGTCTGCTACTTCTGATGCACGTTGTCCCCATTGTGACCAACTGGACACACATATGCATCAACAACTCGAATGTCCAGCTTTTCACGAGATTCGAACTCGGCATCCAAAAGCAGTGACTTATTTGTCTAATAACCCACATAAACTATGGCTACCCCTGCCAGCAGCATTCCCCTACATCACAGAACTGCGTCAATTCCTTGCAGCCAGAGGTCTCGACACTGGACACACGCATATCCGACAAGACGCTGATGTTCTTTATTTCTATACAGATGGGTCAGCTGATACTCCCCTTCACCCAGAAACCCGTCGAGCCGCGTGGTCTGTCATCCAGTTTCGACCTGAATCCATTCAGGATCCATTCCTTACTATCAAAATCCAGCACGTCCAGGGTCCTCAATCCATCGCTCGTGCAGAGCTTGCGGCCGTAGCCTGGATTATTCAGCACGTCACACACAACCACTGGTCACAGCAAATTGTCATTGCCACAGATTCTCAGTATGTTATCAACACCATTGGCCATATTACCATGCCAGCATGTTACCCTTCCTGGCACCGTCTGGCCAACGCTGACTTACTTCACATCATCGCGCGTTCATGGTCCTCATCACAATTTGTCCTCCGCAAAGTTCGAGCCCACCAACATATTCAGGATGCCCCCCCCGGTCCGGCACGTGATGATGTTCAAGGCAATTCATGGGCAGATCATGCCGCAGTTATTGCACGTAAGACCGATCATACATTTGTCCACTCTTTGTTTCAGACAGCTGCCACTTGGCATCGCGATCAATTTGACCAAACCCAATCCATTTTGCATTACCTCGCTGACCTCAATGTGACTCATGCTAGTCTTAAACAGGCACAGCGTCTCAAGACCGGCGGCTCTCCCCATCACGACTCTACGGCTGATTGGGGTACTCTGTTCCGCCAGCGCGAATTGTATACGATCTCGCATGATCCTGTCCGATTTGCCCCGCTGGTTCATCCTGCTTTCCTTACTGCCTGTGTTTGGGGAAACCAGTATGCGGACTTAGTCTTACGTTTCTGTGCTAGTCTTAAATGGCCATCTCCGGAGGTACACTCACCAGCCCTCGAAGTAGATACAGGCATCACATGGCACGAACTCGCTTTAGCTTTCATCGTAAATACAGGAATACAATTCCCGACATGGGTTCGTAGGACCGGTCAAGCTCGAGCTCAGCCTGTACACTGGCAAGATCCCAGTGTGTTAGCCCTTCCTATCCATCGGAGATCTTTACGGGAACAAGCCGAAGCCTTTCGTACCATCGTCCTTTACCTTCAAGGCTATGCTGATACGCCTTTAGTGCCCAAATACTCTAAAACCGGCTCGCTTAGCCTCACTCAGGTAGGATGGGGACGATCATATACAGGTGGTTTTGCATCCCGCCCGGAAATTCCCAATTCTCATGCTGTCCAGCGAACATTGGTCCTCTACGCAGAGCAGCTACATTGTAAACCACCGTATCATCCTGACGGTCTGGTGCCCATGCGCCACGCAGTCGCTCATTTTCCTATTGTGCCTGCACAGACGCTTACCTTTGAACAGAAGTTCAAATATCGTCGCAATCTTCGCAAAGTGTGGAACAAGCATGGTGATCTCGATTCTGTTAAGGTCCCCGCCCCTAATTAGGAATTTACCTTTGAGCCTTCTACGAGCTGCGCGGATATTCGGTTTCACGTAGATAGTGGTCTCACTTGGTAGCCTCATTGCAACGTCTTTATCCGACAAAGTGATACTGACCCCACTCCCGGACACCCACCAACATGGTGCAGGGTCGCGGGAAGCGTGTCGACAGCGAGCGCAAGTTGTGTGAGTAGTAAGGCCAGGAGCCCCTAGTAGCGTCCTTGCTCCTGGCTCGGTGTGGAAACTGGGTTGCGGATCGAAGTTTCGAGTGTTGGCGCCTTTGGCCCATTCACTTTCGCATACTCTTTCGAAGCAGAGAAAGGTGAAAGACAATGCTAAGACAGGTTAAAGGATGTTAAGGGCTTTTCACATTTGCATATGAACACTCAAACACATTCAACAGAACAGTCTTAGGTCTTGGAGGTCTTGGACATGTTGGCGATTTGGCCGGGCTCGACTTCGGCCCGGCTCCGCCCTGTAGGTTTGGCAGCACTTCATCGTGCATCGCAGTCTGGTGCAGGAGAAGTCGTTCGCCTCCTGCTGGCAGCCCAAGCTCATCCAGATGGACCAGGTGATCTTGCAGTAAGACTTTATGTGTTCGACTATTTGAGCATCTCATTATCTCATTCTCTGATTTTCAGCTGCTCTTGTCATTTCTTGTCCATTCTCCGGAGCAGGATCTGCAAAGATCTCTCCGCTGCGGATGGCTGTCGAATGTGGTCATTTCAACATCGTGCGCCTTTTGCTGGATGCTAAAGCCAATGCAAACTTGACCAAGGCAGGTGAACATGCACAAGCACGCGTTTCAACCGTTCAGGGATGTTCAGAGTGTTAGGGCTGTTGAGCGGTTGAATCAATTCAAAGCCAGGAACATGGTGACAAACAGGTAAATCCGCACGCATGAACATGTCAGTGCAAATCTGAACAACGATGGTGGAGGCTTTTCATAAGTTTGGCACCCTGATCATGCTTTGCTCACCCGCAAAAAGGATCAAGTGCGGTGTCGCGACTCTCTCTGTCTCTCTCTCTCTCTCTCCAAAGGCCGATGGAAGAACACCCTTGCTCGCTGCAGCTACATTTGGTGATTTACAGATTGTGCGAGCTTTGCTGATGGCTGGTGCCTGCCAGGATCGATGGCTGTCAAGATACGAAGACTGCTTGCTTTTAGAGAACTAGTCAGTTGATTGGAAAAGTTACCGATGTTTGAGGCAAACGTTTGGGGCTCCTAGTAGCAAAGGGCATCGCTGCTAGGAGCAAAGGGCTCCTAGCAATACTACCAGGAGCAAGGACGCTACTACTAGTACCGTTTGGACATGTCTGGAGAAGAGCCCGTGCTCGCACCAGGACACCAAAGGAGGCTTGTCACCCATCTATTTGGCGGCGAAGTATGGCTCTGCAGCAGTGGTGCAACTGCTTTTGGAGTTCAGAGCAGACAAGGCCGATGGTTTCGCTCTATCGGTTTGTCCACATCCAAAAAGCCGGGTCCATGGGTCCACAGATTCGTTCGTCTTCTTCTTAAAAAGGACGAATAACGGACAATTGGATACAATTGGTCTCCTAAAGTCTCCTTAAAAAAGACAACACACCACCTCAACGCAACGCGAGGATGTGATTGGCGAGAGTGGCCGCACTCCACTGTGGGTTGCCTGTCGACATGGGCACCTGGGCGTGGTGGATGCTCTGCTGCGTGCTGGCGCGAACAAGGCACGAGAGAGCTGGTGTGGTGTGGGACACTTGACCAAGGAAGTCTGTTGCTCCAAGAGCTTCTTTGGAACAGTTGGACTGCAAACAGGATCTGCCTTCAAACACCGAGCACAAGCTGCCACAAGCTACCTGTTGCAAAATGTAGCACAGCGCGAGATTAGTCCAGAATTTGAATAGGCACAGCATCCAGAAAGTTCCGGTTGCACGCATATTCTACTGCAGACTTGCCAGCTGTTAGCTGCCCTTGCTTTGTCCTTGCTTGGACGACTCCAACATGTTTCTTCAACATCAACGAAGTCAAAGTGGAAAACGTGAAATTGTGGCCAGGACCTCGCGGACCATTCGGGCGACGCTCCTTTGGGAGCCGCGGCAGAGGCGGGGCAGCGCCGGGTGGTGGACTTCATGTTGATGGCCGGCGACGATCTCAACAAGGTCGGAGGTGAGAGTGGGAGAATTGGGAGGGGGAAGGTGAACGAAGGCATGAGAGATGGATTCTGAAATATGTCAAAACCACTTGTCTTTCACTTGGCCTTGGAACGCGCATGAATTGAAACACTCAGGGCTAGAGAGGCCCTTCCTTTCGGCCGTTCCGATCGGTCCGTCTCTGACCTCAGGCGATTACCTCAAGTCGCTCACCCCTGGAGCCGCCTTGGAAGCGGAGAAAACAGACCGCTTTGGAGTGGGAAAGAACGGTCACCTCCGATTGAGCCGTTGGAGGTGACTGTTTATCGAGTTTAGATGTAATAAAATGTGTAGTGCATCGCTAGTAGTAACAAGTGCCTTACTAGTAGTAACAAGGTTCGCTACTAGCAACTAGTGCATCGCTTCGAGTTTAGAATTGGACGTGCTTGGCAGAATCCAGCTCCGGTTCAGTGAAGTGCGAAATGACTTGGGACCAGGGGCATTAGAGGCATTTGTGTGATTCGTATCAACCGAATAGGAATGGCCTCCAACCTAAGAGCGATGACCTCCGAGCTCAATCGTCAAGCTCAATCTGCTTTTCAATGCGAATGAGGCGAGAAGAAATAGAGCCTGTCCAGACCGGCCAGCCACCGAGCTTGAACAGGCCACTTCAGAGGTCGTTAAGCGACTTCGATTGGCACCTTTTCAACCGCTCGCCGTTTCATGTCGGGAATTCCCTCAGCATTTCTCATACTGACTCATGCTCAATGCTTACAGATCTGATTCTTTTCGGGCATATCGGGAACGAAAAAACGAAAAGAGTAGTTGGATCTGAATTGGAAGTGCTCCCAGGTCTGGTGCGACCCAGAAGTCCTCGTCCCACCCTCAGCCTTTGGTGGTGCGGGGTGAGCAGAAGAAGGTTCTCTGGTTTCTGGGTCTCAGCTTGTGGAACCCAAAAAATCAAACATCTTGCATCTTCATTTTCGGCAACGCACTTAAGCTATTGCGTTGAACCGAACGTTACAAGCTTTTGTGGGGCAGCTTTGCCTTGAAGAGCAACTGCATTCAGTGACGATACCATCAGAGCATGTATCTACTCAGGCAGATGTATGAGTGGATTTCAGTTTGTGCCCATGTAGCAAGTTCTTGAAATGGCAGCAGGTCCACGTGAGACAAATCTTCTGAGAAGGCCCGGAGCGGTGACAGATGGACTGGGAAGACTGTTGCCTTGTTCGGACATTGTGACTAGGGATGGAAAGGTTGAGCAAGAGATACGTTCTACTTGCACTCTTGAAACCACACTTGAATACATTCTGGGCCAACTATACAGCAGCATCTTGTTCCAGCATTCCTTGGTCAATACATAGAGGCAGTGCTTGGCTACAGGCTACAGGTTTTTCCAATCAAACATGCAAACACGGCTAATGAAGAATTCTGAAGCACTTATTTTCAAAATTTGCAACAGAGGCATCGCTACTAGGAACTGCTAGTAGCAAGGAGGCTACTAGGGTGCTCCTGGCCTCGCTACTAGTAGCAAGGAGGCTACTAGGGTGCTCCTGGCCTCGCTACTAGGAGCAAGGACGCTACTAGGGGCTCCTGGCCTTACTACTAG